CTCTCTCCTCAGAGCCCTCACGCACCCCTCACACGGTTCGCGGCCCCATGGGGGGGTCCTTTTCGATCGTCCCGCTTGCCGCGCGGTGTTCGCAACTGCGTATGATTGGGTCTTTCGCCAGGCGAATGCTTTCTTAACCATCCCGCGGCGGTGGGTTTTCGATTTGGGGAGAAATAAAAACAGCGCCTCGCGTCCACCCCTTCCACCCGATGCCCAGGCATCGACCCGTTTCAGGTTCCAGAATCACCCTGGAACGGTTCCGGGGTGAAAATTGGAACCTGAAGCGGGTGATTTTCCATCTGGGCGCTTTCGGGAGCCTTGCGGGCGCATCTCGGGGACGGGGGGAACTGCACCCGAGCTCCCAAAATTGCCATTTTCCAAATGAAATATCTGATTGGGGAGCTTGTTTTTCGCGGCTGTGCCCTCCCGCGCAGCGTCGGGAGGTCCCAGATGGATTTTCACCCCGGAACCGTTCAGGGTGAAAATCCATTTGGAACCCTCTCCCGACGCAAAACGGCTCTGTCGGGGAATTGGGGGGGGTGTACCCGAGCTCCCAATATGGCCATTTTCCAAATGAAATTCTCCTCTTTGGGAGCTAGTTTTTCGCTGCTGGGCTCTGCCGCGCAGCGTCGGGAGGTCCCCAATGGATTTTCACCCCGGAACCGTTCCAAGGTGAAAATCCATTTGGAACCTTCTCCCGACGCAAAGCGGCTCTGTCGGGGATGGGGGGGGGTACCCGAGCTCCCAAAATGCCATTTTCCAAATGAACATCTCTTTGGGGAGCTTGTTTTTCGCGCTGGGCCCTCCCGCGCAGCGTCGGGAGGTCCCAGATGGATTTTCACCCCGGAACCGTTCCAGGGTGAAAATCCATCTGGAACCCCCTCCCGACGCAAAACGGCTCTGTCGGGGATGGGGGGGTGCCCGAGCTCCCAAAATGGCAATTTTCCAAATGAAATCTCTTATTGGGGAGCTCGTTTTTCGCGGCTGGGCCCTCCCGCGCAGCGTCGGGAGGTCCCAGATGGATTTTCACCCCGGAACCGTTCCAGTGTGAAAATCCATTTGGAACCTTCTCCCAACGCAAAACGGCTCTGTCGGGGACGGGGGGGGTGTACCCGAGCTGTCAAAATGGCCATTTTCCAAATGAAATCTCTGATTGGGGAGTTTGTTTTTCGCTGCTGGGCCCTGCCGCGCAGCATCGGGAGGTCCCAGATGGATTTTCACCCCGGAACCGTTCCAGGGTGAAAATCCATTTGGAACCTTCTCCCGACGCAAAACGGCTTTGTCGGGGATGGGAGGGGAAGTGTACCCGAGCTCCCAATATGGCCATTTTCCAAATGAAATTTTTTATTGGGGGGCTCGTTTTTCGCGGCTGGGCCCTCCCGCGCAATTGGGAGGTCCCAGATGGATTTTCACCCCAGAACCGTTCCAATGTGAAAAGCCATTTGGAACCCTTTCCCGACACAAAACGGCTCTGTCGGGGATGGGTGTGTGTGCCCGAGCTCTCAAGATGGTAATTTTCCAAATTCAATATTGGGGGGCTTGTTTTTCGCGGCTGGGCCCTCCCGCGCAGCGTCGGGAGGTCCCAGATGGATTTTCACCCCGGAACCGTTCCAGTGTGAAAATCCATTTGGAACCTTCTCCCGACGCAAAACGGCTCTGTCGGGGATGGGGGTGTACCCGAGCTCCCAAAATGGCCATTTTCCAAATGAAATCTCTCATTTGGGAGCTTGTTTTTCGCGGCTGGGCCCTCCCGCGCAGCGTCGGGAGGTCCCAGATGGATTTTCACCCCGGAACCGTTCCAGTGTGAAAATCCATTTGGAACCCTCTCCCGGCGCAAAACGGCTCTGTCGGGGATGAGGGGGGGGTGTACCCGAGCTTTCAAAATGGCCATTTTCCAAATGAAACCTCTTGTTTGGGAGCTTGTTTTTCGCTGCTGGGCTTTGCCGCCCAGCGTCGGGAGGTCCCAGATGGATTTTCACCCCGGAACTTTTCCAGGGTGAAAATCCATTTGGAACCCTCTCCCGACGCAAAACGGCTCTGTCAGGGATGGGGGGTGTGTGCCCGAGCTCCCAAAATGGCAACTGTCCAAATGAAGTCTCTTATTGGGGAGCTTGTTTTTCGCGGTTGGGCCCTCCCGCGCAGCGTTGGGAGGTCCCAGATGGATTTTCACCCCGGAACCGTTCCTAGGTGAAAATCCATCTGGAACCCTCTCCCAACGCAAAACGGCTCTGTCGGGGATGGGGGGGGGGGCGTACCCGAGCTCTCAAAATGGCCATCTGAATTTGTTTTTTGCTTAAGCTCTGGCAAGTTTAGTTGCATGGACGGGGGGGGGCTGAGCCTGAAGCAAGCCGCAAACGACTTGCACGTTCGGGGCGGGGGGCCTCTGCGCCACGCAAGTGCAAGGGCGTTTTCTCGGGAATGGAAGACGCCTAAAGCCTTTGCCATGGACGTGCCATAAGGCTGCTTCCCCGAAGCCAGGCCCCCGTGACGATGTGCGCCC